AACCTGGCTGCATCTGGTTAGGAAAGAAGGCTCCGCGAGGTGGTTCTTGTGCAGAGCCGCCCGAAGAGAGCGTGTAGGCGCCGCGGAGAAGGAGAAGGGGGAAGAGGAGGGCGAGGTGGACGCTCCGGCCGTCTCCCGAGCGGGTCTGTTTGGCAGAAGAGAAACCACTGGAGGGTCAGATCGCGGGCATCGTCTTCTCAACAAGTACGGATCGCTTGGCCACCTCTTCCAGGTATATTGCTAAACCCCCTTAGGGGAAAGCAGGAAAACTCCCTTTTACAGAGTCAGAGCACCGGCCCCTCTTTAATAATAATAATAATATATCCTCAAGTCAATTTTGACTGATGGCCTCCCTTTTCAGGATTTTCCAGGTAGTGGTTTGTCATTCCCCTCTTCTGGATGAACCCTGGGAATTGTGCAGTTTTTGCTCAAGGCCACACAGGCTGGCTCTACTTGCAGGAGGCACAGTCGGGAACTGAATTCTCAACCATACCTAAACTACTATTGAGCTATGCATCCAGCCCATCTTTAGCTCACTGCTTTCTGAACTTGGCAAAGTTGCTTTCCGGACCATCTCCTAGTTTCCCAGTAACCATGGCTTCAACAAGCCAGATATTCACAGAATGACAGCAGATCGTGAACATTTTTGCAGAAAACTCTTGGTTGTTTATCACATCTCTCTACCAACAGAAGCTGCTTCATGTCTTTCAACAGTAGCATACCCATAGCGCCTCTTTCATGTAAATGTAAGCAAGATGACTGAATGATCAAAATCAATGTCAAAATGGCCAAAACATTCAATTTCAGTGGGGGCTGAATAATTTTGAACACAACTGTATCCTCAAGTGGCCTCCCTTTTCAGGATTTTCCAGGTAGAGAACGCTCAGGAGTGGTTTGTCATTCCCGTCTTCTGGATGAACCCTGGGAATTGTGCAGTTTTTGCTCAAGACCACACAGGCTGGATCTACTAGCAGGAGGCTCAGCCGGGAACTGAATTCTCAACCATACCTAAATGAATAATTTTGAACACAACTGTATCCTCAAGTGGCCTCCCTTTTCAGGATTTTCCAGGTAGAGAACGCTCAGGAGTGGTTTGTCATTCCCGTCTTCTGGATGAACCCTGGGAATTGTGCAGTTTTTGCTCAAGACCACACAGGCTGGATCTACTAGCAGGAGGCTCAGCCGGGAACTGAATTCTCAACCATACCTAAATTACTATTGAGCTATGCATCCAGCCCATCTTTAGCTCATTCTGAACTTAGCAGGAGGCTCAGCCGGGAACTGAATTCTCAACCATACCTAAATTACTATTGAGCTATGCATCCAGCCCATCTTTAGCTCACTGCTTTCTGAACTTGGCAAAGTTGCTTTCCGGACCATCTCCTAGTTTCCCGGTAACCATGGCTTCAACAAGCCAGATATTCACAAAAGGACAGCAGATCGTGAACATTTTTGCAGAAAACTCTTGGTTGTTTATCACATCTCTCTACCAACAGAAGCTGCTTCATGTCTTTCAACAGTAGCATACCCATCGCCCATGTGAGATATACAGTCTGCCAGAAGGGTATCCTTCATAACTCTTAGCACCAGAAGCATTTTAACTGTAGTGTATATTCTTGCGGATGTTTTGTGGGGAATTCCTGTTGTGTAACTTTGCCCCAGCATAACCTGGATCAGACAAAGGCAACATAGGTCACCCTAATTAAAAACTTCCTATTCCCATGTTTTATGTTCTGAGGCTATCTGGGGAAGCCTCTGACAGTCTTGAGATGATGGGGGGGAGCCTTTAAAAGTCAGAAATTGCCCCTGCATCACTGGTTGGGACCACTGTGAGCAATTTGGTGGTGATTTTTTTTTTTTTTT